GTGTGGGTGTGGGTGTGTGGGTGGGTGTGGGTGTGGGTGTGGGTGTGGGTGTGGGTGTGTGGGTGGGTGTGGGTGTGGGTGTGGGTGTGTGGGTGGGTGTGGGTGTGGATTAAAAGAAGAAGAACATCCACACCCACACCCATCCACACCCACACCCACCCACACCCACATCCACACCCACCCACACACCCACACCCACACCCGAATTCTGATTATGGATCCCAATGGATAGAAATGTGCACTACCCCACACTGTTTGCGGTTCGGACTAACTTTCGCTACCAAGGTTCAAACCTTTTGAGTTATATCTTAAACGATGCAGAATACCAAGGGCTTTCAGAAAAAATAAAAATTATTTTTGGACAGCATGGTTCAGCGTGGCTAGTGTCAATATTATGAAAAATCTTCATTTTTAGCCAATCATCATTTTACTCGTATATGGAGACTATCACTTGATAAATAGCATTCTAGAATACACTGAATTAGTGAGTTTTGTAGAGAAAACATTTATGCATCTTTTGAAACGTCCCCGAACTCGTAGAAATGTTCGGATGCTGAGAAAAGTGTAAAATACTGGGAGCACTGAAAAATAACGATTTTTTGACCAAGTCCCGAAGGGTGTGTCACTTGTATGATCTGGCGTTTTTCACAGGAATGTCAGAAAGATCTGGTATTTTGGATTTACGAACTTATAATGATGGTCTATCGTTTTAGATAGTTAAATCGAAAATCAAAATTTTATCGGCGGCCAGCTTGGTTGGTCCTATCGTGGACCCTCTCTTAAAATCTATTTGTAGAGAACTATTCGAAAAATAAAATAAATATGATACGTATATGGTTTAGTATATCATTTTTGTTTTCAAAACAAAACGATAAAGTTTAATCTAGAAATAATGTATCAATAAGAGAAGCATATCTTCGATTAATAAAAGATCACATAGAATGACCTCATCATATAAATGTTTAATTGTTTGTAATTATTAAAGAGAATTTTATCTTTTATTGCACCATGAGATATTCTCTTATTTTTTAGATTGAATATAAATTTAAAAAAAATTCAAATGAAATATATTTTATCTATAGTTTCATGAGATTAATTCTTGAAACTAAAGAACATTTTGTCTTTGATAACGGAAAATTGACTTCATGCCAGCAGCGAAAGCAATATGAGGATTTTCAATATAAGTTCTTGTATGAAACGACAGCTGTGAAAGAAATTGATAATATTTCCAGCATAATATAAGAGATCTATGCAATGATGAGATAACAATTTGAGCTTTCTCGAATGGTTTGAACGGAAATTCGAATTGTTTCACGTATAATACTAATGATCTCGTTCATATAATGAACAAATTTGGAACGAAAATTCACATGCTTCAAAAGCAGCGTCTGAACTAATATTAATGAATATTTCGAGATCGATAGAACAAGAGAGATATTTTAAATGGGTTGATCAAATTATATGAAAGATTTTAGTGATCAATAGTCAATTTTACAAAGTCACTACACGTTGAGAAAAAGAATTTGAACTAATTAGTCAAGAGAGAGAAGAATTCGGAAGAATAAACTCAACAATGACAATATATTATCTATGTGATCTATTCACTTTTGAATTTTTTAGAAGTATCTTTCACGTTGATCAATAACAAGATTTATCATTTTATTATTCTTATAAGAAATGATTTAGTGTGTATATTACAAAGCAACTATCTGGACAATAGTTATTATTATTAAATCATTATGCTTTAATATACTTGAAATCATGAATAATTATTTCCACTTCTTGGCCATTAGTTGGCGGTTTACCTTGAAAGGCCCATAAGTTCATATGGAGAGGCGCACTAATATAAGGCATGACTGATGTAAATGTTACTGGTGTTTGATATGAATATAAAATATTTTGATTTGGTGAAGATTGAAAACCGTGTTGACTTTGAAACTGAACATTATTAAAAGTCCAAGTAAATTGATGAGTTGTATACGTTCCTTGAAGAGATATACGTGTGCCAGATGATACCTGTTTAGCAACACCTAATGAATGTGGATAGACTGTACAAAAGAAATTCGATGCTTCTGGCTCTGTTCGACCCCATTTGGCTACTTCAATATCAATTTCATTTGTACCATCGACACCTCCGTAAGTAAATAGACCGAATACTACGTTGGTGTCAAATTTATCTATTGGTCCTTCTACAAACCATCGAAAAGTTCCAAAACTAAACTTAACATCGGTGTACAGTTCAGCACATGTCCATTCACCTGTTGTGGGTGAACGACGAAGTTTCAAATGTAATTTATTATTTGAATCAATCCATACATTATTCGAGTCCCAATTATTTGGACCTTGAATAAAACAAGCGAAAAGAATATGTTTTTCTCTTATCATAACCAAAATACTGCTTACCAGGTCCACTATTTTTATCATCACGAAGAAACCACTGATATCCTGCCCAATGAATCGATTTCTCTGCACTATTCATAAATACAGTAAAACTTCTATTAGTGAACACCCCTCTTATGTGATCAACCTGTTATACTGAACACCCTCCGGAATCTCCGAGCGAATTTTGCTGGTTTTCGATCCCTCCTATATGATCACCCCGTCATTCAGAATGTGAACGCATTTTTCTGGTCCCGATTGTATATTTCACTCTCATTATTATGAACAAAAATAGAGAGCGCTATGTAATTAAATCATTTTTATAGCTATACGGAGGCCATTATTACTCATCTGATTGGATCCGTAACTCAATAGAGAGAAAAGAAAAAATGTTATTTGTGATTTTTGTTAGCTGCACTACATCTTAATATTAGCTATGACATCTGGAAATGAACTTAATCTAGAACAAAATTTTTCGGATCTATATTTAATTCCTATCGATCTGTACGTGCACAGTTGTAAAGAATTCTATGAATAATTACTCACTTGGATGGTTGTGATTCATAGATTACACCACAGACCATATTTGGATCATTGGTTGGAAAAGCATCGGCCTTGGAAACTGAACCTTTTTTCATCCAACAAGTACCTCCATTCCATTGGGTCCAGGCAAAATGAGTACATTCTTGAGTTTCGGCACATTTTCCACCGCAAGCTTCTCCTGCAATTTGAGCATTAGAAAGATCATTTTCATAGAAATCACAAGACATGGCCCAATTATTTCCATTCCAATTGATTACACCAGATGCAAGTGTAGCCGGTAAAGAATTGATTACTATAACAATAATTAATGTGCACAAAGATAAAATATTGATCATTTTGTAATTTCCACTGTTCTTTTTTGTCAGTATGTCCACCAATTCTGAAAACAGAAATCGTTAAGTAAATCATATTCGATCCATGCATTTTATTACTTCTGTGGCTATGAGAATTTAATGAACGAATTGATCTTTGTATGATTTTTTTTTATGTAAACAAATTTGGAAACAAGTACAAAATTACGCATAGATAGAATTTATTTTCAAAAATAGCTGATCGATTGACTTGTATTCATTATAAAACTATGTGATGAAATCTCAATAGTGGTTTTGTATTCTTGAATTTATCGATGCAAATAACAGATGACCTATAAGAGATAGCTTATTTTGGCTTCCTGAAATGTTCTGTTCGAATTCAAATGCATCACAGAATAAACCGAAACAAACTCTATATTTTGGCATAAGCAAAGTTATCTTGTAAATGTGTCTTTGTTTTTAGAATAGATCAAACTTAATTGAAACATGTTTCAACATTATGAAATGGATCAGTTTTCAATATACATCTGATGCATTTTTATTTTACTACTAGTTAAAGAGTCGTAACTTTTAATCTTTTCAATTATATACTTCTACCAATACTGTCTCATATATAAGAAGCCACAAGACAGTAATTAGTTTAATTTTATTTATCGATAATTTTTGAAACACAAATCTATAAAGACTAAAACTTATAATTCAATGTTTTATGAAATTAACTTGTGATTTCAATAAAAAAAAATGAACATAACTAATTATCGAAGTTTGACAATACTTGATTCAGTTCTAGACTGAGTCAAAAATGCAATATTTTATAGAAAAACATGGATAAGAATTCCATTTTCATCCAAGTTATGATAGAGAAAATCTCAAGGATCCTCTATATCTATGGAAAAGAAACGTTCGGAAATCCTTGAGTTTAGTATGAATTCCACTCTACTTATCAAAATGTATTTGTATTGGAAAGTTTCAAAAAATCTTTAGTCACCATGATATTGAAAATCTATGGAAAGGACAATGTTCCTAACTAGATCGAAATTCGAAATATTGTTTCTACATGTGTTGACTAAGGCATATGGTATTCCGTGTGCCCTGTTCTACTTTGCAGACAAAGCAATTTGAATACGTGTACAACGAAATACTATCATTTTCTTTACGTACTTATGATTACTTGTTTGAAGTTGTTGATGATGATAATGATGATAAAAAGATCAATGAATAACGTCTTTACAATCTATTCGAGTATTTATACCAAAATTATTGCAATCCAATAATGTTTTCTTCACTCAATGTGTAATATTAGTCAAAATAGTTGGATTCTTTCCATTTTAAATATCCTACAATGACAAAGAGAGAGAGTAGGCGCTGATTATCTTGATGATGAGGAAAATAACTTTGCTGTCAGAAAAGAAAATGTCACAGCAAATAGATGGGAAAAAAATCTACCTACCCCAATAATACGACAATGGCTCATAGGGAGAAAAAAGTACAGAACAGCTTATAAGTACGAAACTAGTGAGTCACCTCATCTAGTGAAGTTATTCGTAAACAATGCACATGTTAATGAATGACTCATAACTACCTATCGTGCTACCGAATGTTGTATTATCACATCGTTCAAATATATTGAATATTTCATTTCATTTCAAGTGTTTACAACTTCCACCAAAAACTAAAACAAAAATGAACCAAATGAGTAATTCTGCAAGAGAAATAACTAGTTACTCTGTCGTACTATTCAAATAATTATTTGTAGAATATTCTTGATTATTTCTTTTATAACTATGAATTAAAAAACAAATTATTTAAAAACTATTTTTTGGTCCAACTAATATTGCAGAGATCGCCTTTGAAACTAATGCTTATCTCACTTTTCGAATATCTTTTTTCACTAAAATAGATCAGTCTAATAGAAAAGGGCAGGTAGATTTCTCACAAGCAGAATTTAAGAATTCTGCTTTATGCATACCTACTTTTCGATAATAAAAAGAACTGTGCTTAGAATTCTGTTTCTTCCCGCAGAATTGAACCAGAATTCTGACGCACTATTAGAATTTTCTACCTCTACTTTTAAATACTGAACAGAATTCTGCTTAGAATTTTGTTTTTCCAGCAGAATTTAACCAGAATTCTGAATCACTAACACCTATGGCGTAAAATATCTAAGGAAACGCACTGCATAACGCGTTTCCAAGATTGGAGCATGCGTTTCGCAGCGTTTCTTCGAGACGGAATGCGTTTCACAGTATTTTTACTTATATAGAACGCGTTTTGCTGCCTTGAGTTTTTGAAACGATAGTAAACGCTTCTTTTTGCGATTACGTTTCGAAGCGTTTCCGAAATGAAACGCTGTTAAACTCATTAAGTCGACAAGAAAAGCATTGTACAGAATCACAATTCGGAGAAAACTGGAAACAGGTTCCTATAAATTGTATTTTGCATCGGTTACGCTTCGAATGATGTAAAACTAATCTCTTTTGTCATAGTATCTCGCACCAATTCATCTTCGAAAAGCATGAGTTTAAGAAAAGTCACCTCTGATATGATTTTGGTAATTATGCGAAATGGTTTTACAAAAAGTTTGCTGATTACATTGTTTCTGATCCTCAAGATGGCGGTGCAGATCTTCCTTAGTCAAGATCAGAATCAAGTTCTTCTAAAACTTACACAAATTACGTCGTTTTCTAAAGCTGTTTCGAAGTTAGACTAGTATTGAACATCAGAGTGTATTCTTTAGTTATCTTCTGTTAGAAAACGCATTTCACTACGTTTTCATTCAAAGAAAACGCGTTTCGTAGCATTGAACCAATAATTCTGTAAAATGGGTGTGGGTATGGGTGTGATTGAAGAGAAGAATAACACCCACATCCACACCCCACGCCCACGCCCACCCACACCCTACTAGGATTTTACGGCATCATACGAAGTTCACATTAATTTATGGGTTAACACTATCCAGCTTTATCTTCGTGGCAGGGAACATGCTCTATGAAATGTCCAAGTTAATGAAGTTTTGAAGAATATGCTTTTACCTTCAAGCCTTTTCGCTGCCAACTATAAGACAGCTTGCACGCCATGGTAACGGAAATTCTTTTAATTTTGCATCCCGTGCAACATTTTGTAACTTCGTTTCAACATCTTGATCAGGCGTTGTCATATGGTTCAATAAGTGTTCAGTAAATATTCCATTTCGCTGATTTTGTGTTTCATCTATTGTATCTTGATCAAAACCACAAGAAAATGCAATCAGAGATTCAAGTGGCCCTCTTATTGCTGCCAAATCTTGTTGACTTTTGATTGAACGCGTTTTCACATAGAATCTACAGCAATCTAATATAAATATTGTAACTTGAGGTTTCTTGGCCGCTATTTTATGAAGTATGTACTGAGTGCAGATGGAGTGTTCTTCAATATATTTCCGCTCATTCGTACTATGATCACAATAGTATTCAGCCGGTAATAAATAATTTTTGTCCTCAAATTGATTTCCATGGCCAGCAAAGTAAATTAATATTAAATCTCGCGATTGAATCCTTTCGGCAAATTCATTAATCAGACGGTTAAACCCATCTTTATTGCAGTCAATCCCTGTGATGATGTGAAATTTTATTCTTTTCAATTTGTTTCCAACATCCGTTGCGTCATTGATGCAATAGCTCAACTTAAAAGGATCAGAGTAATCATTAATACCAATAACTAATGCTCATTTTCGTTCTGGAGCAGTAGACAATTCCATTTGTTCAAGATAAAACTAGCTGTACTTGTTAGACAGTTCTGAATATCTAAACCGTCTGCTTCTTTTTTACAAGTAGACAAAAATAGAAATAACAACAAAAAAAGAAATAACAACAAAAAAGAAATGCATTTCAGCACATATGCTTTGTTGACTTTATTACTCTCCTCCAACATGATGTGTTGTTTGGTTAGATTTTCTTTCTTGTTCTTCCGTGATTATGACGTAAGTTAGAATATTGTTGACAAAACTTTGTTGTAAAAAAAATCGAGTCAGTCAACGTACATTATAAAACTCAACTCAAACCTTAGAAAATACATAACATAATTTCCAACGAAAAATAATCATTTTGCATTGTCCATAGAAAAGACATTCATTAATTAAAATGTTTACTGTACCATTCAAAACTATATTTCTTTTATTACTGTTATTACTTTTTGTATTGATGGGGAAGTGTTCATTGGTTTGATACGAAAATCATCATTGTTTGATTCCCAGAAAACTGAAAGGTAACCGAGGAGTAAATACAAATCGTATGACAATTTTCATTTATTTTTGATTTTTTTTTCTTAAAACTACATTGATTTGTAGAGCGTGAAATGGCATAGTTTTTGATCATAAAGACTTTTAGTATTAATTTGTTATTTAAATACAAAAGTATCAAAATTCATCTATATAATATGAGAATTGTTTCGTTAATAAAAATGATAATATTCTTGTTTATGTTATTCTTTAAATTACAGATAAATAACTACAAATAATACTAAAATAATCATAATCTTTGTTTATAATCGTTTGATTTAAACTTATTAGTGTTATCCAAGTATATTTAACTTTGATAAACTGCTGTATTTCGTTGACAATTTTTTTTTCTACCAAAAAAGTTATCTTCGTAATAAAGGAAGATATTCATGAAAGTTTTTTGACCAAACGCGAACGGTGCGCTTTCACCATTAAGACTTTTCAATTTAGCGCAATTGAGATGTGCTTTATCATTGGTAAAATTGATTATTACAATTGTGAGTAATCCTTATTTGATGGGTGGCATATATTTCGGTGTGATTGAGAGTTCTGTTTTCATCCCACATTCGAACTTTATCAACAAAATCTCGGTTAGATATTGAACGTTCAAGATAAATATGAAATTGTTCACGATAAAAAAATGAGTCCGTATAATTCTTTTACTTTATTTGTCTATCATTGAACTTGAATTTGTTTAGGAGAAATGTGTCTTCAGTTCTTGCTTCTTAGTCGTTCGTCGATTCGTCTGGTTCAACTAGTTGTTTGTCAT